ATTCATTTTTCACCGGTAGTTTCAACCGCTCTTATCTACGGAATTTTAGGGTAAATGAATTGCGTCACGCCTCTCTTCATATTGAAGGAATGAATCATCAATGCCCTATCCGATTAGTGGAGAGAAATTGTGGACATGAGGGGCACTATGTTGATCACTGATGTAAGTTTGTTGCTGTAGTTACTTGAGTGCCGGAACTTCATCCCTGCCCTGAGAATTCAGACCTTTCCCTTCATAGCGCGGGACAGCGCTCGAACGCGGCACCATTTTCGGGGAGAAGATGCCGGACCCGTAGTTACTTTCTGTTGAAAAAACCGACTAAATTTTCTGAAAACTTTTCGTACACCACAATACAAGGGTTAGGAAGGGCACCATTTATATATACAGGGTGGGCCAAAATTGTGATTACACAGACATACATCTCCAAAAACAAATAGAAAGCTAATAAGGCAAACCAATTCCAGAAAAGTGTTTATTCACTAATCTCTTATCAAAATAGTACATTGAGACTGGAATCTAATGTTTCTGCTTTCACCCGACCCCAGAGACGATGATGGACAACATTAGCGGTGGCACGCAGTTAAGGCCATCGAGTTGATCCCAGCTTTTTGAAAGGCATTTCTGAGACTATTATTTCCCTTCTCGTTTGAGCTAACGGATGCTTTCATCGCAAAGGCTGACCACACGGAGACATTCATGGGATTTAGGTCAGGGCTCCAGAGTGGTCACTCTTCAAAGGTTATGAGGTCAAGAAACCCCTTTTACGAAATTTCTTGACAATTTCTGATCTGTGGTCAAGAGCTTCATCTTGACGATATGTCCGGTTTGAATCGCCAAAGGGTCCTATTGCGCACAATGAAGTGAAACAGGCCTCCAGATTAACTTTCACTCCTTAATTTACAAAAATAATCGGTGTTTTTGTCTCGGAGGTGACGCTCGCATAGGCCATCGCAGAAAGTCAGTGAGCCTTGCACAGCATGTCCTCCATTCCCTTCAGTTTTATACAGGTATTGTTGCCCTGCTCATTGAGCACCTTTTTCACCATGGATATCTTTTCGTCGGTGAACAGGAATTCCGTACAGCGATTTTTTCGAATACTTCAGGGCAGCTTATTGAGCCGTTCTTTCTCTTCTTTTTAGCCTGCTCACTGGAGAAATCACTGTATGATCGTATAATGATCTTGTCGTGCAGATGATGCTTCACGATTGTGCCCAGAAAACTTCGTGACATATCCATTCGCTTAGCCGTTTCGGACTCGGACTGAAGTTAGCTGCTACGCAGGCCTTCGCCCTGCTTCCTTAACACTCCCTCTGAATACAACCGCACGCCTATTATGTTTACCACTCCTATCTGCCATTGTTCCCAATTTTCGAAGGTGTCTTATGGTTAAATTTATCACCTGCCTTGTTACGCTAAGTTGTCCGTAGATGCTTGTGCCAAAAGTTCTTGTAAATGCAAAGCGACGATTGATTAGGTATATCAGAAAGGTAATAACGTAATCTACCTTGTAAAACGGAAAAAGGCGAACAATTTGTTATGAATTCAGAAACAGTTTGCTATGAGCGTCAGCGCGCGCTGTAATCACATTTTGGCCCACCCTGCATCTTTTCTCATATTTTAATTTACAGCGCTTGTAGGTTTGCAAATTGCTTGGAATCTAGCTATTTTGTTACCGATGAGATCTTCTGGGCTCGATAACTGTTAAAATGGTGCCTCACGTCTATCGTAAAATACGATGTAAAGGAATGGCTATCTAGCTGGTCTGAAAAGCTTTCGAGCTTCCAATGCTCGATGTTTTGAATGTTCATTGATAACTTCTGGTGTAATGGTACTATAGAATAAAGTCCTGTCAGCATCTGTTAAGATTTCAATACGTGATAACGCTACAAAGTTATTTCTCATCTATGTTAATATGAGAGGATAGAACGTTTGCTAACAACTGATGTTTTATCAGCTTCAACTGCTCAAACTCAGAAGAGTTATGAGAATGTAGATCAATAGCCAGTTTCTCTCGGGCTCACCATGACGTATTCCTCAGGAACGAAAATATTTATCTTATAGAGGAATAGCTCCTTCCTTTTGGTTTTAGTAAGGTCTAATGGCAAACATGTCAGTGATGAGTTTTAGTACATAATGCATTTAGGTATGTTCCACCGCGATCACCTGCAGAAGTGGAGGGATGGCTATGCGAAGATAAACCGATGATCGAAGAAGAGCTAAATAAGCAGAACAACCTTCTCGCTTTGCTTCATCGACAGGTGAGCCCTCAGAATTAAATGAAAGCGAAAATTGTTGCGACCAGTTTTTTTTAACTTCCCTCCAACTCTTTCCCTTTTCTTTTTTTAGTTTTACGTTTGATTTTGCTTTCCATTTCTGTAACTTCAATTTAGTACGACTGTATATGCTTAGAGAAGAGCTGGAAGCGTTTTATGTGGATCTGGAGAGGCTTTGTAGAGAAGACCATACTTACTCTAAAGTCGTTGTTGGTATGTTCATCGCGAAGGTTGAACCCAGAACGTCTGGGGAGCTCCATATCGGGTCTCACGGAGTTTAGATAAAATGCTGTTCGAGTTTATCATGTCGACCCCTCACCATCCACGGTAATTCGCAGTTCCACAAGCCCATTTGCGATGGGCTTGTGGGCTTGCGGATCACCTTGTGACAGACCAATGATAGAATAGTTCATATCATTTTCAGTCAAAAGTTTTTCCTGACTGATGCAGCGTTGTTCCAAGTTCCACACGGGACCAGACCATCGTCTGTTTCGCGCTGAATTCTGCAAGTGATAAAGGAACATTTGATATAGAGAAGAGCAGCAGTTCCGGCCGAAACCGCTAAGGCTGAGAAGAGCATCCACAGAGTCCGCCGAAGCTTCGTAATAAAAAATAATTAAGACGACCAAGATGACTTCACTTCGTCTTCCTGACGGAACTGATACTGCATCTCGAAGGGCAATAGAGAGGGTCGTCTACGTCTTCTATTCACATCCCTTCAACAGCCTCGTCTACCTTTCTACCCACCAGCTTGGGCAAGACGGACATGTCGTCTCTTCAGCTCTTCCTTCTGAAACCCGACTTGCCACTAGGACGATGAAGAACTTATTGTACGGCGTCCAGTCCCGATAGGATCAAATCAACATCTGAAGAGCCTTCTGCCAGTCGTCGAAACTCTGGATCGGCTCAGAATATTAGAAGTACAGCCATACGAGCAGGTAGGGTTTCGGGGAGGGCTCAATACAATAGACCACATTCACACCGTTACAACAGTTATTGAAGCATCGCGGGAGTACAAATGCCATTAAGTCATACGTCCATCGATTTGGAGAAAACCTTCGGCATCGTCGAGACAGAAGCGGTAGTCGAGGCCCACGGCAACCAGAGTGTTCCTATTCCATATAAAAGGATATTTTGTGAGCTCTACAACAACTTCAGGACCAGCATCTTGCCATTTTAAAAGAAGTCTTCATCAACGTTAAGAGAGGCGTTTGACAGGGTGGTACTATCCGCCCACAATTTTCAATGCCCTCTCCACAATATTTTGCGTCATATGGAATGGGAAGGCATGGGAGTGAAGGTCGATGGCCGCTATTCACATCATCTACGCTTTGTAGACGGCATCATGCTTATAACGCCTAACGTCGAGAACAAGTGCTGGCCGAATTTGAAATCGCTTGTGGAAAGATAGGCTTACGACTGGAGCTTACGGCTACATGATGCTCCTTTCACGCTGAACGAAACGAACATCTCTGAATGCTCTGCCACACCTATCTAGGCTGAGAAGCCAATATGATGAACGACTTAGCACCGGAGCTGAGTAGAAGGGTGCGCGCAGCTTGGAAAACGGTCAAGACCATTGAGGGAGTAGTGAAGAAATAAAGAACATCCGGCTTTGCGCTCACCTTTGCGACATTGCCGTCCTTACTGCTTTGACATATGCTTCAGAAACTTGGACTCTCAACGAAAGCGGTATGAGCATGCAGTCAGCGTCATTCACCGTGCTGTGAAAAGGATGATGCTCGAAATTCTTCTGTACACGCAAGGGCGGAGAGGAATCCGGAGTTCGGAACTCCTGCAACGAACAAAGACAGAAATGCCGTTGATTACCCCAAGAAATCGAAAATTAGGTGGGCCGGGCACGTTATGCGATGTAGTGGTGACCGTTGGGCCAGGGCGGTTAGGACTGGATCCCTCGGGACGTCAAACGAACATCAGTAGGGCCGTCAGCACGAAAGTCAGACTTTTTCACGAAAGCTTCAGGCGACAACAATGTCCCTGTCTCTCAAGCGAGGATGCTCCAATACAATTGTTCGTATACGCTCAGAAATCACAAATCGGAAAAGTGTTGTGCTCACCAGCGATAATGCACTACTGTCTGAAACTTTGTCACCGCCACGAATTAAGGGCACTTCGAGGCATGATTCCTATGATTTCTGGGTACCATTTTAAGCCAGAGACCGGAAGCGTTGGTACCAAATCTTGCGTTGATAGTAAAACATGCGACAAAATCTGCAGCATTCGCGAAGCTTAGCGCCTTTCGAAACTGGTTATGTTTAGAGATTGTACGAGATTGCAGTTATTTGTTGTAGTGGAGAGTTCGCGAAACCACTTCCATAGTAGACTGTGCCTTCAAATTGGATGTATTGTCATACTCAGTTACCCATCTTACTTTGCACCTTCAGTCCCCCCCCCCCTTATATTGTTCCGTCCTTTGCAGTCCGTCTTGCTTCATTAATATCTAAGGTTCGGGCTGAATCTCAGCTTTGCAAAGTTATAAGTGAATATAAACCCGAAAAAACAGACAAATTTGCAACTATCTCGAACGTTATCTTCCTCTGCAAAAAAATACAAAACAGTGATGTGCCTTCTGCCAAATGGTTCACTTACTATTGTCTAGTTATAGAATCGTCATTGGTTATACCTGTCGTCCTTTTTCCAGAACGAATTTTTAGAACTTTAACAATAGAAGGCTTTGGACTTTTCTACCCGCACCATAAATTTGAAGCAGATGATCCGAACCACTAAGTTGGAGGCTACGTTTCACTTTAAATTTTCTATATCCCTACAAACGTACAAGTGATGTTATGGGTTCATCGTAGCTGTTATCGTTGGGCGACCGCAGACGATCATTTCGGCTCGCCTTAAATAGACACGTCTTCCTAGCAGTGGATGACGGGTTGTTTACGCAGCATTGAAAAGTATGGTTGGAAAGCTCTTAATTACCTTCCCTTCCTTTTTAGATGATGCTCGTGTCGCGCTGCGTAGATGAAAGTCCTTCATCATGGACATGACATCGCCCTCGGGCAAAATATTTCTCTGATAACATGTTGAAGAGCGCTTGATCCAATGAAGCATTAAGCACCTACCCCTTAATGCCTCCAATAACCATTTCAGAATTCCTATTTTTCTCGAATGAAGCTCCACCCTTATACGGCTGGTGAAGGGCATGAATAACCTCACTGTTATACCATTTCAGTGTTCCTACCAAACTGAGCAAATGTGTAGCTGCGCTATCGTTGTACAGCTACGTCTTTACTCGGTTTGGTTGGTTACCCGTTCGGTACTTGATATGACACATGGAGGAATCGTTCCGCAGCTTTGTTCCCAGAATCGTTTTGCAGATTTGGAACACAGATTTGAGATCGCCGTTGGAAATTACCTACTACGGTATACATCTCATCTTGAATGCCTCTGCGACCAAGTATCTTCTCTTGTAGAACAGCTGAGTGCACCATTTACCTTTACAATATTAATAGACGTTGTAGTTGGGGTTCACCAATAATTCGCTCTTACTACCCCTCGTATACTGAATGCCATCTCAATAGGACTCATGAATGACCACTGAACACCATCATGGCTGACGACTTATAATAGAGGAGTACGCCAGAATAGGCTGAAGAAATCGCAGAACGTGGTGGTCGGGACTCAGTTCGGACTGAGTGTAAAATAAAACAAATTCTTTAGCTACGGTTATAGAGCAAATTGATACTTGCCTTGTAGAATGCCTCAACACTATACAAGACTTCTGCTACTTGGAAAGCGGCGTAGACCAAATTGTAACGTTCGAAACGTGGCGTAAAAAAACAGAGGGTTGTTCTTTTTTTGTCTCCTACGGTCAATGGCGTTCCAGCGCAGTGTGGCGGAGTGTGGCGAGGCCCAAGGTGCTCTACGGCAGCGAGTGCTGCGTCGTAGACAACAATCACGAAAGGCAACCCCATTTTGCAGAACTGAGGATGTTGGGGTGAGCTTCGCTTGGACGCCAAAGACCGGGCAAGGAACGAAGACGTCACGACGATTATGCAAACAGCCCTTGTCCATCTGGAAATGAGAGCAGCTTCTGGGACAGTGCGAACACGCTTTGGAAAGACACGAGCTTACTCGATAACAGAAGCAATGGTGTCCTAACCATAAGCTCAGGGGAAGCGATTACATGGAGCTCAAAAACAGTGTGGGTGGGACATGGTCAACCTCGCCAAAACTACGGTGACGGCAGAATATGCTACAAACGGAAGCAGTGGACCTTGCGACGACGCAGGATTGACTCCAATTAGAGGAAGGGCAAGAAGAATAAGGAGGCAATAGTCATTGAGAACTTTTTGGCGTTGCCTGCAAAACTTTTTAAATTAATATTTTATACTGGTTGAAACTGATTGTCAAACAACAAAATAAAACGAGAAACCTTTCATTTTTGTTTTTTCTCGTTGAACTGAATTTTATCAATCACACTTATTTGAATGGAAGTCGAACGAAATACTCGTTGAAGGCCTGCATTATATTTTCCTCATTTGAGAACATAGGTCGTGTTTTTGTAAGCCATGCAAACAAAATAGTTTTGTACTCGTCATTCATAATTATATTGGAAAGTTTCAGGCGACCGCCATTACGGATGCTGGAGGCGATGCGAAATGTCTTGATTCGCGCCTTTGGGGTGTTCAGACTGCAATTACTGTTTTGAAGCGGCGTTTGAAGGTTGTTTGCTTTGGATTACCATTTCTTCTGAAAGGACTTCTCATAATATCATTATTCAAACATTTTCTTCCCAACTCTGAACCAAGAACTACACTTAATCTAGCTGATGACGACAGCTTTTCCCCACTAATTATATCCAAAGGTGCAGTTATCTCTGGAGAACCTTCGTAGAATGACTACGAAAAGTTCCTAAACCGAAGTTTCGCGCTTTGGCAGGCGAACATTGAGCTTTTAATGACATGTGTAGCTCACGGACCTGTGGACTCTTTCACTGTGACCGCTGAGCCTAAAATAACATTGAAAAGTGATGAATTCAAAATGGTAACTAAAGTGAGCAGACGACTAGGGTAGAAATGGAGCTGAAGAAGAACCCGAAGGGATCCGAAACAACCAGCACGTCAGTGTGACTATTTGGTGAAGGCGAGGCGCTGAAATTTTCGTGTGTTGTATGTTATTCAGCCCGACTTGGGGCCACGAGCCAGAATTAGATTCACTATACGGGTAAAGCAGTAAACAGATATACTAAATGTTCCATTCAGAAGTCTTCGTTCTGTGGATGGTCCCTTGGATGTCTTTGAAATAGGGTAGAAGAAGGTTAGTACGTCGCTACTCACGAGGAAGATATGCATTTTAGGCTGTTGCTGAGCCGACTCCATCATCCACGAGTCCATCGGCAGGAGATTTACTCTGTGTGGAAATGTTTGAGGAGAAGCAGTTGATGGCGGTGCAGAGCATGCTTCGGTAAAGCTGTTCGAGTCATTCATATCCACAAAAAATCTTTTACCTGCAGCCGCCCACTGTTTGTGCGGAACCCAATGGGTGAACTGAACTCATCATTTTACTGATAACAAGACAGGAACTTTTCAGATAGACCCTTCTGTAGTAAGAAGCTGCGATTATGTTCTGAATCAGGCAATGGTAAAATTGTTTCCACTGAATTGCTATGCCCCGGGATACTAAAATGCGAGGGAGCTTCGCAGATGGCTAATATTGAGACCAAAAACGTTTTGCAAGGGTCAGGATGCATCTCATGGAAAGGCAAAACGAGCACATGTATAGAGCAGTCGAACCTTGATTCATGCCTACTAACCCATCACCCTACCAGCTGCGCCACCGTTGCACAAACATGATTTCACTCGGTATGCTGTTCTGTTTAGTACAGTGGCATAACTCAGAGAGGAATTGGTCCCGTAACTTTGTTCCCAAAATCAAGTAGATTTGGATTTTGAGGTCAGCGTTCAAAATCGGCGGTATACTTTTCATCTTAAGAGGCCACTGCGGCCAAGTAACCTTCCCTTATTAATCACCAACTTCTTTTTAAACCTGAAATGGTTTGACTTTCTCATTCAACTCTTGAATAGAGAAAATTACTTCCGAATGGCGTTACTTTTACCTTCACTGTATAAACCCTGCTTCTGTTGTAGGGGCACTCTCCATCGCTGTCAGCTTTTAAAACAATCAGCGTTCAAAGTCGTTGTTGTTTGAACATTACATGAAGGGCAAATTGGGTATTTGTGGATCGTTTTCGTTCCGAAATTGAATTCGATTTTCCTGCTTCTTTGGATGCTTTGTTAACATCTCATGTTCCGAAAGCGCATACATGTTAAATGCGCGTCGAGTTCGGGCATTGTTTTGTGCAACTCAATTGGGAGCTTTTGCTGAGATTTTCAGACAGGATATTGTCGATGAGAAACGTAGAATAGCTCATCTCTGTTGGAAACTACACTTGACCAACGTTGATTGCCCGCACGGTACTTCTGGGAGTACAACTTCACCCTTCAGTCCATCACAGAAGGTTAAGGATGAAGACTCTGAGGAGGTGATTTGTCTTCCTTGTTCAAGAACAAATTATTGAACGGTTTACTGAAATGGGACTAGCCAGTAATTCTCATTCAGGTCTGGCGTGAACGCTCCGAACTGGAAGAGGCTGCCCGTGCCGCCCTGGTTGCGGAAATTGTGCGCTTACGGAATGACTGCGCCAATCTTCGAGCAAAAATCGAGTACAATGGCCAGCGGCAGGTACCCGCCAGTACAAGATTCTGAAGCCGTTCAAGTCTACATCTCTGCTTATTTTGTCGGTGCTAAGTGGGTTGGGGGGG